TCTCATGTTTTCTCTCTCTCCCTCTCAAATAAACAAAATCTTCAAAAAAGAAAAAAAAAGGTCTGGGGGACAGTGGTGGGAAGGAAACACACTTTTGCCCTAATTTTTACACTTTTGGACTTATTCACTGTGTGCAGCCATTACCTCAACAGTTCACCTCCATTTCTGGATGGGGACCAGATGAAGGGACTTAAATAGCTGTCACGGTTAGACAGACCTAGAATAAGAACACTCAGATTACCCTGCCATGGCCCTGATCTGCTGGGCTCCTGATAAAGGCTGACGTAGTTCTAAACCCAATCTGGCTAACTCAAGTACAGACTCGCACCCCCTCCTAACTGCGACTGCCTCTCCTGGTTGATTTTCCTGACCCAGTAATTACACACAGCACACACATTTGTAAGGCAATTTAATGGTTTTATTAAATTCAAGACCTTTGAAATGAATGAAGCCAAGGGATATAAAAAAATCAAGGGCAGAGGAGAGTCGCTTGTACGGGGACAACAAGGACACTGACAAATACGACACGGTTTACTCGCGGTACAGCAGCCAATCTTACAGTACCTATTACCTATGCCCTTCTATAGAGCAAAATACTAAAGCCTCATAGCAACCTTATTAGATTGGAATAATCAGTAACCCTATTTTGCAGATGAGAAAGGACAGTGTAACTTGGCCAGGGCATACAGCTATCAGCAACATTGATACAATTCTTTTCAGTTTCCTCTCAATTCCATTATAATTACAAATTGCGGAAGAAAACATGAAGTTTAGATTATTTTTCAGTACTCAAATTATTACCCAAGGACATAATTCTGGTTATTTTCTGAACTTCACAGAACAACAAAAAAAGTAAAGCAACTAGTACTTCTGCAACAACCACATTCTTCATCCCAATCACTGTATTTTTCAACATCATTTTAAAATTATTTGGGGGGGGGAGGCAGGGTAATATAATTAGTATTCTTTTCTGGCGATTTAAAGAAAATCCAGTCCTTCCTCATGGCAGAACCAAACAGGAGCCAGAAAGCAGGGCTCTGAGCCTGGCATCCAGTAATCTAAAACACTCATGCTAGAAGACGGGTCTCCAAAAGCTGTGGCACACACTTGCCCAAGTGACATGGTCTTGGCTTAGAGAGCTTCCCATGCCTTATTAGGCACTTTCCCCAGCCAGCAGCACCCTGTCCTTCCTCCCTCTTCCCCATCGAGTCAAGCTGCAGCCTGGCCATTCCAGTTTCACAAACCAAGAAAATGGAGGAACAACTTCTCCTTCCCCTGATCTAGAAAAATCCAGAACATTCAACTCAATATACTTCCACCGCAGAACCACTCATAAGGAGTCTTGGATTCAACTTGTCAAATGCAATTAAAGCACTTACCAAATCCTTGACTGGTTAATACAAACAAACCCTTCATGAATTACATTAATGCTTTCAGAATAAAACTGATTACTGGGGCGCCTGGGTGCCTCAGTTGTTAATCGGCTGCCTTTGGCTCAGGTCAAGATCCCAGGGTCCTGGGATCAAGCCCTGCATCAGGCTCCCTGCTTGGCGGGAAGCCTGCTTCTCCCTCTCCTACTCCCTTTGTGTTCCCCCTCTTGCTGTCACGGCTGCCTGTCAAATAAATAAATAAAAATCTTAAAAAAAAAAAAAAGAATAAAACTGATTACAGATTGAAAATTGAGAAATGGTATTTCTCCAGAAGTTCTGTCAATTGAGAACTGAAGTTTTGCTGCTATTCAGTAGGCTGCACCATTAAATCCATACATTGAATCATCGTAAAAATAAGCTATCCAATGAATATATATGTATATATAATACATTCTAATATCCCGCGAGAGCCTACCTGCCTCAGGGTTGGGCACACACCGCCACTTGGTTAGCCACCACACAAGTGACAGTAACAGGGCACCTAAGCTCCCACGAGCACATACCACATCCCAGGCACATCCAGGCTTTACACATATCACCTCGTTAACACTTTTTCCACAAGAGGAGTCACCCAACAGTATGCCCTTACCATAGGATTCCATGTGCAAAAAGTTCAAAGACAGTTATTTTTACATCTGCGGTGCTGGAAGCTAATAAAGTGGTTTCCTTTGGGGCAAGTGTAACAGGGTAGTGAATGGGTGGGGCACAGGGGCTTCTGGACGCTGTTAATGCTCTCTATTCCTTGACCTTGGGGGCTGCTTACAGCGGTGCTCTTCACTCTGTGATAATTCATCAAATTGTACATTTAAAATGTGCATGTTGTTGGTATGTAAATTACATACCAACACATATTACATACCAACATACGAAACCGAAAGCTAAGTGTTTTGTACACTTAGCTGTGTTTGTAAAAGCTAAGTGTTGTAAGAGTTTGTAAAAGCTAAGTATTGTAAGAGTTTGTAAAAGCTAAGTGTTGTAAGAGTTTGTAAAAGCTAAGTGTTGACGGAAGACTAGGAAAAGAGCAAGCACTGTCAGAGACGTCCCAGGTTCTGATTCTGACCTCCCAGTAAATGGCTTATGATTTGGGAGAGTCACTTCTGGGGGCACATCAGCGTCTTCATTCCTTCTGAAGAGGTTAGGTTAGATGCTCTCCAATTTTCTCAGTATACCATTACTTTCCTTTCTTTAACAGGTGGGGGAAAGGGAGGCACCACAGGATGAATAAAAACAAAAACTCAAAACCAAGTGTCTCTATAATCATCAGGACATCATCAAAATTGCCAAGAGGGCACCTGGGTGGCTCAGTCAGTTAAGCAGCTGCCTTCAGCTCAGGTTGTGATTCCAGGGTCCTGGGATAGAGGCCCCCCCGTCAGGCTCCTTGCTCAGCAGAGAGCCTACTTCTCCCTCTGCCTGCCCCCCCTCTGCTTGTCCTTGCTCTTTCTCTCCACCCCCGTGTCAAATAAATAAATAAAATCTTTAGATAAAATAATAATTAAAACACACACACACGAAAGCCTCTCCAGGTTCAGGATAACATTCTGTGCTATAGCAGTGCCATGTAGCAATGGGCAAGTTCAAAACACCTCTCTGAGAGCAGAGGATGGCTGCAGTCACTATGCACCTTCACTAACAAACTCAGTATCATTAGAAACTCATAACCTTGGGATAAACCCCAAGGCCGGGCAGCAAGGTTAGAACAAGGCCTACAATTTTAACATACTCTCATTTACTGAAGTGTTCAGGGAAGGAAGAGGGTCTCTTGGTTAACCAAATACCAAGTATACCAGCAAAAGATTATACACGTCAAAAGAAACAAGTTCCCTTCCGGGTAATTTGAATGATTCAGAATTCCTAAGGGTCTTGTGAGGAGTGATTCACTGCCAGTAGGAACAACTGTTTGATACAGAACAAAAAACTGTTCTCAACCAGTGCAGAATAAAATTTAGAGACTAGTACTAGTTTATTCTACAGACTATGAAACAGCAAGTAGTATTAACCCCAGTGAGAAATACTTCCTTCACGGACTATAAAATCAAAAATCCTTATAAACAGATCACCTTTCAGGGCTTACAAGTAAAACAAGTTTAAGAGCATGGTTTAGGGACGCCTGGATGGCTCAGTTGGTTAAGCGTCTGCCTTTGGCTCAGGTCATGATCCCAGGGTCCTGGGATCGAATTTCACATCAGGAATCCCTGCTCAGCCGGGAGCCTGCTTCTCCCTCTGCTTGTGCTCGCTCTCTCTGACAAATAAATAAATAAAATCTTAAAAAAAAAAAAAAAGTGTCAAGACACATTCTTGGGAGGTGCTCTAACATCAGAAAAACATTCTTAAATCTATTTCATCTGTAAGTAGCCTTTATCTTTGGTTTTCCATTGATTCCACCATCCACTTTATTACTGTTTATCATAATCTTAATAGCTGCATGACAGAATGGAAGCTAGCCCCTAATTACAGTTAGCCAGAGAAACAGAACATGAGGCTGGCCCTAAAGATCAGGTTTATTTCCTCTCTGTAAGCTATAACACCTGGGGAAAAAAAAAAACAAAAAACAAAAAACCCAGCCTTGGAATCCTCTCCCTACAAAAATTAAAATCTGGTCCCACGACTATCAAACGATATAAGTTTGGTAAGTACTCAACCTCACTCATTTTCCTTTACCATGATGATTTAAAAGAGCTTAAGATGTGAAAGCATGATTTGGGGGCACAGTAACTGAGAAAGGTCAGAGTAACATGGGGAATGCAGAACGGATCCTTCTAATTCCAGGAGGGCAATGAGCCGGTTCCCAAGTGTTGCCTTCACAGCCTGCAACGATTTTAATAACCATCAGTACTATTTCAGGGCCACAAACAAGTGTAAGAATACTCCTGTGCACAGACAGCTTCTCACGTGCTTACATTTTCCCCCAAGATTAAGGCCGCTGCTAAAACGGACCAGCGGCTGCGTAAGACCTTTTAAAGATGAAACGTGAACTGCAATGCCAAAGCACCTACACAAAAGCCCGTAGCATCTTCAAGATAATAAGATCAAGAGTGAATATATAGGTAAAGATAAACATCAACAGATGACATACTTATGCGCTTCCTGCAACTTCAACATTCCTAAAAACTAGGACAACTGAGGCCAAGGACTAAAATGTGTCCCGCTGGAGGGGGCTCTAGTCCATCTGGATCACGTGCGCCCAGCCCAAGCACAGAACAGGTGCAGGAGGGGTCACTATACAGGCCCACCCCCCCCCCCGTAGCTGTGGGGAGGCCCCGGGCGGCACCAACTCGGTCCCTGAAGGAGATGCTACTCCAGTCCCACCCTCCTAGCCCACTCGCCCCGACCCCAGCCCTGAGCGGCCGGCCTGGGGAACTCCAGACAGCCAGGCACCCCGCCTCCTCCCAGAGCCCCACCGCCGCCCGGCAGGTATCGATGCTGCGCATGCGCCTGCGCACAGAGAGTCCCTCGTCAACCTCTACCGGGAGCTGGGCGGCGAGGCCCCGGACGGTCCGCTCGGGGTCGGGTGGGCCGCGTTCTGCGCGGAATCCCTTCCCTAGGCGCGGGCTGGGGGGTTTTAGCGCTTACCCGCGCCCAGAAGGCTGGCCAGGAGAAAAAGAGTGTACATGTCGACGCCCGACTCCGCAGTCTGCAATGCAGAGCGTCAGCTGATCGTCTGCGGCTATAAACCTGCCCCGCCCCGAAGCCGTGCACCGCGCATGCGCAAGCTCCGCCCCGGCCAGGCAGGCCTGAGTTCTCCCCGCAGCCTGACTCAGCGCCGCGCAGGGCGCCTGCGCGACTGGAGGCGGAGCGCTGGGAGGAGGACGGGACGGGGGATGGGAGAGGACCAGAGGGGGATAAACTTGTGGAGGAAGGGGGAAGGTCGTCCAAAAAGAAAGCTAGTAATTGAATAGGTCAACATTAGAGATTTTAATATGCATAAATATCTTTTTTTGTATAAATATCTTTGAAGCCTCACATTCTTTTTTCTATGAGCTACCATTTTCTGTTACAGAAATTATATAGAAATAATATTCTGTTATTCTTTCTGTTCCGTTTTTCAGGTGAGAAGCCAAGCTTAGAAAGGTTAACGACTTTGAGTTCTAAAGGACGTTAGTTAAACTCACCACCCCGCCCACATCGTCTCCCGTATGAGATTTGTATATTCACCTAGCTAGGGCCGGCGTGTAGCTTCACCCTGGGCCCTGCTTTTCCCTGTAAACATTTCATATCCACAATCGCTTCTCCTCATGACCCACAGACAAGGTTTCGGTATTAAATACAGTCCCTCCCGACGTCCTACCATGGTTTGTCCTGGGGTTGGACAAAGTGAAGGGTAAGATGGGAAAGAGTGAGAAGCGCCTCAGCCGTTAGAGAAGTGAAGCCGGAATTTGAGAACCTGGCTGTGCACCAGCCAGAGACCTTGTTGCAGTCAGAAGTGGCCCCACACGGTGCAGCCCTCAACCTCCATCTCATTCCAGAATAAGAAAGGCCCAGGTGGCCCACACAAAACCGCTTGCCCTCTGCCTGTGGCTAATCCAGTCTGGCTCTGAGCAGAGGTCTGACCTCACTCCTCCCCCTTCCCTAGGGGAGGTACCTCCTAGCCCAATTGGAAGATAGGAGGGAAATCTCAGCCTATGAGGGCAGGTCCTTAAAGGTCAGTTAGTCCCATTCCTTTATTATACCAAAGGGGAAGTTGGGACCAGGAGAGGGAAAGACATTTATCCAAGGTCAGGCCTGACCAAAGAGGGGGCAAACCCAGGGTCCCATCTGCCCTCAACCATCTGTACTCCTTTAGGAACTGGAACCAGCCACAGATAGGTCTCAGAGCCTTTGGTTCACCTCCTCCACCACCACCCCCACACTGTGGTTCTGACTTCCCACTGAGAAGTGTGCACCACAGTGGGTGACAGGGAAGTAGGCAACACGAGAGGGCTGAGTAACGTTGGAGCAGGATCTGGTCTAAACTGAGGCCTCACTGGTTGGCCTCAATGGCTAGATAGCTGCATGGCTGCCCCGGTTGCAGGCTTTCTAGATCCAGGCACAAGCACAGGGCCAATCACCCCAACAGCCAGATAAATGCAGGGAAGGTGGGGCTCTAGGTGTGTGCCATACAGAAATGACAAGACTCCGTCCCAAAAGGAAGCTTAGTGAACTTCTGATCATATGCTATCACTTTGGTGGAGTTACTGAGCTCTCAAAAATGCTTAATGACAGAGTGAACAAACCACAACTCTTTTTTAATACCCCCTTTCTCATAACCAGAGGGATAAGTCAATGTTTTTGAGATGCACTTTTGCGACCTTCATCTTCATACCTGGAACACAAAAATATGATCCTGCATCCATCTCCCTCCCTCCAAGAACTTGGATGAATTGAAATGAAGAATATAAAAGACAGTAAGTGGATGATTGTCACTTTTTACCAAGTCAGTAGATGCTTAAATCTCTTACAATACCTTCTTAGCCATCTGAGCAGAGGCAGCAAAGAGCTATGAGACTATCTGGACCCTTTGACCGTATAATACCATTCCTAGCTATATACCCCCCCAGGGTATTAATAAAGAGTAGAGATGTCTTATCCAAAGTGGTCACAGAAGGACCCTTTATAACAGTGGATACTGGAAAGACCCCAAATGCTGACAATGATGGCTAACTAAGGAAACTAGCCTGGACAAAACACTGATACGCAAGGTGCCTTTGAAACATGAGATAGAAGGAGCAAGTGCTGGTATGCAACAGGCCTGGGAGGGAAGTGGGTTCCAGCAAAATACAGGCAGAGCAAGGCCCAAGCCCCACTGTCCACTTCAAGCCCTGCCACTGTCTTCCCAGAGGGGAATGTGGGTGAGGGAACTGCAGGTTCCCCCAGTTCAGGCATGCACAGGGGCAGCGGAGCCCTCCTGCCCTGTCTCCCTTCAAAGTACTGGGACTCTTGGTGAGGACAGGAACAGAGAATTGGAGGTGGGAAGAGGGCCTGCTGACTTGGATTAACTCATCCAAGTCAGGAGGCCCTCATTTCGCTCATTACAATGGCCACGTGTTACTTGATACTTTTTAAAGAAAAAGATTCCAGGAAAATTTTAAAGAGAAAAGAAAATCCCCATCATTTTCTCCCTCCTGTGAGCTCAACTTCTCAGGAAACTGAAAAAGTAATGTGAGCCATCCTGGAAATCCCAGCACCAATCCTGATGGTTTTCCCAGTTCTGGGTCCCAACTCCCCAAGAGGCCCCACTTTTAGTGCCTGAGATCTCTTGAGACCCCCATCCAGATCCACTTGGATTCCACTTTCAGCCCCAGAGGGCTTCCATCTGCTACTGTTTCTATACCTGAAAGCATCCATGGCCAAGACAGAAGATTTAACAGAGGCATCTACCGTGAAGGCCTCTTGGGCCACCACCTCGGTGTCTCAAACGATGACGTCAGGCTCCTCTCCCTTCAGCATTTCCCTCATCGGGATCTCCAGCCGTCAGTCTCCCTGCCTGCTTTTGCTTTTCTGCCTACTCTGAACCCCTCAGGCAGCCATTCAAATAACAGCCTTTCCCAAGAACCCGTCTCCCCATCACAGTTCAGTCACTCACCCACCAATTCCCAGCCTCTGATTTCTTCTCTTCTATCCCCACCTGAGATACCGGCTGGAGAATCAACCATCCCAACTAGGCTCCCCAAGCCCTCTGTGCTACTGGATACCTGTGGAGCCCTCCCATGCAGTCAAGTCTGTTATTGTCTCCTAGTACCCTTCACCTCTTTTTCCTGGATTTAGATAGTTAGTAGTCAACTCTCCCCCGCTCCACATGCCCATTTCTGGCTAGGTACATGGCCACCCAGAATAAAGATTACATTTCCCAACCTCCCTTACAAACATAGGCCCTGATTCTGGCCAATGTGATAAAAGCACAAGTGCCCATTTTGGGAACTCTAAGTACTGCTCTTGAAGAGACACATCCAGTGTAAATATTTAACAACAGATATGCCAGGACACTGGCCAGAGTGCCGGGGGAATGCCATGGAAGGTCCCAACTGAGCCAGAGGATGAGTTGGGGGGATGGGGAGGTGGCATCAGGGAGTCATCAGCTATTACCAGCTGGTGGAGAAGTATTCCAATAATTTCACTACTGAAAAAGCTCTACTGATTTGTACCATTTAAACGCCAGCCCTGGCTACAAATGCCCTTCTTCATGTTACCTGGATTGCAAACATGATGGATCCATCATGGACCACGAGGTAGAAGCCTTGTTAAGGATGACAAAGCAACAAGATAAGAGCCTCGATCCTTGGTGATTACATCTGCTCCATGGGTCCACCTCCACACTTTATTCATGTAAACACACCCATATCTTTTTTTTTAAGATTTTATTTATTCATTTGACAGACAGAGATCACAAGCAGGCAGAGAGACAGGCAGAGAGAGAGGAAGGGAAGCAAGCTCCCCGCTGAGCAGAGAGTCCGATGCGGGGCTCGATCCCAGGACCCTGAGATCATGACCAGAGCTGAAGGCAGAGGTTTAACCCACTGAGCCACCCAGGCGCCCCCTTGTTAAGTATTTTTAATGTCACCCCTCTAGCACTCTGCTCCGTCAAGTATGCTTTCCTTTTTTGTATCTTCAGTCTCCCGCCTCGCCTCTGACTCTTCCTTCTCGGATTACAAGTATACCCAAGGCTCTCCCATCCAAAAGAGGTCTTTCCTGGCTGCTGATTTTCACTTCAGCTCTGTGCTTTTTCTCACCTCCCCTCTGCTACTCTACCGGTCACCCACACTCACCATCTCTCCCTCCAGACTAACTCTAACCCAGCCCAGCCCTCCACGGAGTGGCTTTCTGAAAGCGGAAGGTAAATTCCTACTTGGAAGGTCCCCCGTCTCATTCCATTTGGCCTCTGACACTGTTGGTCTGTTTCTCCTTCCTGCAACTCCCCACTTGGTGTCAGTGACACTGCCCCACCCCTCAGAGATGCTGAACATCCAGTCCACAGTCCCCATGCCCACTTAATTTTTTTTTAAAGATTTTATTTATTTGAGAGAGAGGAGAGAGAGAGAGTGAGCACAAGCAGGCAGAGTGGCAGAGGGAGAGGGAGAAGCAGATTCCCTGCTGAGCAGGGAGCTGGATGCAGGGCTAGATCCCAGGACCCTGGGGCCATGACCTGAGCCGGAGGCAGACGCTTCACTGATGGAGCCACACAGGTGCCCCCCACCATGACCACTTCTTCACTATGGAAGAATCACTACTAGAATGTGACCTCCAAAGTCTTCTCAACTCAGTACTCCAACTGTCTTTCCCAGCTATTCGCCATCTTTCACAGGTGGGGTCCCCTGGGAAGCACGTTCTGACACTGAGATGTGGGGGCGGAAGTTTCAGGATGGCACTTCTGAGGCACTTCTGAGGCAGCAAGCCAGGGTGGAGGGGAAATCGAAGTGCTGTGAATTTGCAACAGAGTCCTCAGCTTACACCATGTTGAATCGTCCTCAACTGAAGCAACATAATACTGTCCCCCAGGGGAGGGGTGACCTTGAGCCAGGAGGTCTGTTTGGCTGAGGGCGATTCCTGAAGAGAGGCTATTGTGAACTGAATAATAACCACCCCCAAATTCATACATTGAAATACTGAAGCCTAACCCCATACGGCTGTATTTGGAACTGGGGCCTCAAAGGAAGTAATTAAGTTTAATAAGGTCGTAAGGGTGGGGCCCCGATCCTATAGGATTATTGTCCTTGTAAGAAGAG